GATCACCGTTTGAGGCTCACATCAGATCGGTATCAATATTTGAAGCCGTCTGACGGAAATCTGACTGTGATCTCTATCTCTCATTTTAGGCACATCTGAGCCTATTGTGATTATAACAAGTGGTATCAGAGCCCCTTGGAGCCATTTCGACCATGCCTAGATATGGGGAAGGGGGTGGCAGAGCTGCTGGAGGCAGAGAAGATGCCCAAGTACAAGGCCAACACCAAGATCCACCCATTGCTCCCGTGCAACCTAGCTTTGGCCCCTCTAGGGATGAGCCTAGAGTGTTGGCCTTGACAAGTTCAACGGTGACAACTTTGCTGAGTGGTCCTTCAAGATGGAGAACATCTTTGACCACTATGATCTGCTGGAGGTGATGGAAGGAACGGAGAAGCGCCCCGAGAACGACCCAGAGTAGAGCCCGTGGGTGCGGAAGAGCGCACAAGGCTATCTTCTACTTGGGCAAGCGTTGGGGAGCAGCCAAATCCGTCACATCAAGCCTTTTCAGCGTGAACCAGCATAGGGACCAAAAGCATGGGCTGCTCTCAAGGGTGTACACGCTCCTGCAACAGCGGCGGTGGCTGTGGTTTTGGAGCGGCAAATGGCGGTACTTCGAATTGACGAAGGCGAACCGGTGGAGGAAGGAGTGCAGAAATTCTTCGACTTGTTGACACGGCTCGAAGGAGCTGACCTGAACTACAGTGAGCTTCCAAAGAAAACCAAGCTGCTGGCCTTACTTCCGGACTCATGGGCCTCGCTCATCATCAACCTATATCGAGATCTGCCCCGCCTCTCGTTCGAAGATGTGAAGCGGGAAATCTTACAAGAAGATTTCCGCCGTCGCGAATTGGCGGGTCCCGATGGTGCCGCAGTTGCAAGCATGGGCCGTGGGCACGGCCGTGGAAGGGGCAGAGGGCGAGGAGGAAGATTTGGCAGCAGTAACTTCAATGGAGGCCGTGGTAATGAAGGATATGGCAGCAACAACAACAACAATGGCTACGGGCGTGGGCGCGGTCGATTTGATGGCGAATGTCACTTTTGCCACAAGACCGGCCACATGTGGAGAGATTGCTTCAGATTGCCTGATGGATGGACCCCTTCTCAAGGCCAAGAAGACAGAGGAGTAAGGGGAGGAAGAGGCAGAGGTTGTGGAGGCCATGGTGGTCGTGGAAGCAAAGCGGCAAGCATGAGAGGTGGAGACTACGAGACGGGCCCGAGTGAAGGTCGATACCCGGGCCAATTCTTCTTTGTCTCCACGCAAGCGGCAGCTGCAGCAGGAGGTGTGGAAGGCTTTGAGGAGCCAGATACTGTGGGAAAGGTCACCCTTCACTCTCTGGACGTTTGGGTGATTGATAGCGGTGCCACCTATAGCATGACACCTCGTGCGGACTTGCTCACCGAACTCGAACCGTCGCCGGACAAGCATGTTACATCGGCTTTGGGCCAACGAGCAGAGATGAAAGGCATGGGCAAGGCCATGTTCAAGGGTGCTGATGGAAAGATGGTGGGCCTCAAGAACGTACTTTTGGTGCCCAACCTAGCAGCCAACCTGATTTCCGTTCGGCGTTTGCAAAAGGCCGGCATGGACACATCTTCCAAGGGTTCCAAAACATATACCGCGAGGCTTGGTGAGCGGAAGCTTTGGGACCTTCATGAGGACAGGGACATCTACAATGAGATGTGGCAAATCCCAGTGGTCCCCATGCCTAAGGGGAGGCAAGTGGTAGCAAGCGTCAGCACCAAGAGTGAAGTGGTTGGTGGCGGTGATCACGGAAAGCAAAGTGACACCAAGAGTGACACAAAGGAGTGCAACCTTGGAGAGACCAGCAAGGGATGTGAACCCAAAGAGAGTGGTGCAGCATCCAAAGGTGGTGGAAATGAGGAGGAGAAGCCTAAGATCAGCAATATAGCAGCGGCGAAGGAGAAAGGAGAGAGCTTGTGGGGCACGATTGCGAGTGCCGCTTTCTCCAACCCGACTTCCGCTACGGGAGAGTGTGATTGGCTGACCTTGCATCGGCGAATGGGGCATGTGGCATTGCCCATTTTGCATAAGATAGTTAAGCAAGAGATGGTCAGTGGGATACGCATCAAGGGGGAGCCCAATGAGGTGCTTGGCTGTCCAACATGCATGCAAGCCAAGTTCACCTGCTACCTGTTCCATAGCTCGGACACAACGGCGAAGGCACCACTTGATGAGGTGGTGATGGATGTGGTGGGCCCCTTGAAGCTTGGAGCTGCTGGAGCAGAGTACTTTCTCACCATTGTGGACGTCTACACTCCCATGACCTGGGTGTATGTGCTGCCCAAGAAGAGTGACGTAGCTGAAACGGTGAAGACCGATTGGTTGCCGATGGTGGAGCGACCGACTTGTGAAGGCAATTCGCACTGACCGTGGGGGAGAGTTCTTGAGCAAGGATTTCTCAACTTGGCTGAAGAAGCAGGGCATAAGGCACTCTCTTACCATGCCCTACTCTCCTGCAATGAACGGCATCGCCGAGCGTGCGAATCGTGAGGAGACAGCTCGGGGACTTCTCATTGAAGCCGGTCTACCCAATTACTTTTGGCCGGATGCGGTGCGTCATGCTTGTGTGGCCAAGAACAGAGCCTTGACTCACGTGGGAGAAGACAAATGGGTGCCCTATATGGAGTGGATTGGAAGGAAGCCGAAGGTGGATATGCTTCAGGTGTGTGGGTGCATGTGCATGGCACTTGTGCCTAAAAAACTTCGGCACAACAAGCTTGATGCCAAGGCAACATGGGCCGTGCACCTGGGCATGGCTCAAAACAGCAAGGGATGGCTTCTTTGGGACCCATTTACCAAGAAGTTCTTGGTGAGCAGAGATTGCAAGTTCATGGAGAACTTACCGTACAAGGAGTGGAAGGCGGAGAACCAAGCGAAGATTGGTGTGCGGCTTGGAGAGGTGAAGAGGACCAGCTTGGAGCATGTGGAGCTGCCCTTGGAGCTGAGTAGCAGCAGCACAGTCACGAGGCAATCTCCTCAAATGAATGGAGGAGAAGAGGAGGAGGAGGTGCAGCAAGGTGATGAGCGTGCACCGTCACTTCCGCCTCATGCTACAAGTGCTCGCGGGAACCGACCAGATTTGCAGCAATGCCATGAGAGCATCCAAGTCCCTGCAGCAAAGGAGGAAGGAAGGGGGAGAAGGAAGACTCAGCCCCCCATAGGTTGAGCTATGAACGGTTTAGAGGACCAGCCAACTCAACCTTGACCGGTTCGGCTCACATGCTAGGCGATGATGCGGAAGATGAAAGCGAGGAGTGCGCTTTTGCCTTCTTATCTCCGGTGGAGATACTGGGGGAGCCTACAAATCCCAAGGAGGCTTGGGAGGGCCCCAATGGGAAGGAGTGGAATAAGGCCTCAAGTGAAGAAATGGGGAGCATCATCGAGAACGACACATTTGACTTGGTGAACCTACCTCCGGGGCGTAAGGCGATTTCTTCCAAGTGGCTCTTCAAGTGGAAGACCGACGCCGACGGCACCATTGAGCGCTACAAGAGCAAACTTGTAGCCAACGGGTACCAGCATCAGGAGCTGAAGGACTACAATGAAGTATATGCTCCTGTGGTGAAGGGTACAACTCTTCGAACTCTCTTCGCCGCGGCGGCCATCAAAGGATGGGTGGTGAAGCAAATGGACATCGTAACGGCCTTCCTCAACGTAGTTTTGGAGGAAGAGACCTTCATGGAGCAGCCAGAGGGGTACAATGATGGGAGTGGCAGAGTGTGGAAGCTGAAGAACGCACTCTATGGCCACAAGCATGCTCCTAGGCAATGGTACATCAAGCTGCGGGAAGTCTTGGAGGCGATCGGCTGCACTCCCTCAACGGCCAATCAATTGTTGTTCACGCTTGGGCGAGCGGGAGAAGAGGAGCTTCATGGTGGTTTATGTGGATGACATCCTCATATTCTCACCCTCCTCTGACCTTGTGAAGGAGGTGATGCTGAAGCTTCAAGACAATTTCAAGTGCAAGACCCTTGGTGACGTCAACTACTACCTTGGGCTCCACATTGAGCGAGATGTGGAGAAGCGGTGGATGCGAGTGCATCAAAAGAAGTACTTGGAGGCCTTGGCTGCAAACTTTGGGAAGAGTGAAGGTCATGTGGTTACTCTTCTACCCTTGGGGTTGAAGTGTGTGAAAGGACCAGCGGAGGAAAGTGTTGGTGAAGAGGAGAGGCACCGCTTTCATTCCTTGGTGGGCAGCCTCATGTATGCAGCCGTTCACACAAGGCCGGATGCAGCCTTTGCTACTGGGCAGCTGGCTAGGGTTGTCCAATTCCCTAATGAAGAGCAGTTTGTAGCTGGAGAGAGAGTGGCCAAGTACCTTGGCCAAACATTAACTGTTGGACTGCAATACTCCGCGGTAGCACATAGGCGTCAAAAGGGTGCGGATGGAATCGAACCCGGGAGGCTCTTTCTCACAGCCTTCTCTGATGCATCTTGGGCATCAGAACCTGAGGATATGACAAGTGTGGGACGCTTCATCTGCTGTGTTGGTGGAGGACCAACAGCTTGGGAGAGCATGAAATAAGTGGACTAAGCATTGAGCTCGGTAGAGTCCGAGTACATGGCACTCTTCCATGCCATAAGAGAGGTTGTGTGGCAACAGCGTTTGCTAGCTGAATTGGGGGAGGAGCAGCAAGGACCTACCCCACTCTACTATGATAGCCAGGGTGCTATTGCATTGGCTAAGAACCCTGTTCTTCATGGCCTTACCAAGCACATGAAGGTGAAGAGGCATTGGGTGAGGAGCAAGGTTACTTCGGGTGAAGTGGAGTTGTACTACGTGAAGACGATGGCGCAGCCAGCTGACATGATGACCAAGAGGCTGGTTGAGCGGCAGCATTGGAAGTGTTGCAAGCTTGCTGGGATGGCGCTGAACTAAGGGGAGCAGATTCTAAGGCCAACAATTCGAGGGGGACTTTGTTGGTGCAACCCTATGGCTTGCACTCGGCTTGTCATCCTTGTTTGTGTGTGTGCGTGGATGGCATGGAATGACTTGTGAGTATATGTCATTGCTATCTAGTGCTTGTGTGTGTCTTTGAATGGTGTATCACAATGTGGTTTGTGTCGGTCAAGACATTAGCGAGTTTTCACAACTCGCATGTCAAGTCGACGTTTGCGTATTGCATGTGTTTTTCTATTTTGTCGAGTGTGAAGTGTCCATCGCATCGCAGGTGTGTGTAGCAAGCCCTCTCAACCCAAGAAGAATTTATCTTGCAGAATCAAGACCAAGAGCTCAAGATTTCAAGCCCAAGGGAAGTGGATAAATATTCAAATAGTGAAAATAGTAATGCTACTTCATGTAGTGTTACATTTGATTTGGTCCAGCCCCTTGTTGAGTTTGTTTTGAGTCCCTTCGTGGTTGGGGACTCTGTGGTGGTGTACCACCAGCAAGGATCTTGGATCTTATGGCTTGTAGAGGCTGAGAACTATCTCAATTTCGATTCTTCTTCCTAAGGTTGTACTTCTAAGACTATAGTGGCTGCTATACCTCATGGAATTTCATGATTCAAATTGCTGCTGCTAGGCAACAGCAACGCACTCCAGATCCAATTTACACATCACCGTATGACGGAAATACGATTGTGATCTCTATCTCTCATTTTAGGCACATCTGAGCCTATTGTGATTATAAAAGACGGCACCAACCACGCCCTTGCCTCCTGCTTCAAGAAAAAGGATGACGATTGGTATGCCGTCAATGGGACCGCCTCGAAGCCACCAAGCTGGATGGTCAATCGTGCTCCTCGCCAAGTCAATCAAGTCGAAGCACAGGAATCTGTGCAGGCTGCTGTGGCTGCACCTGCTGATGTGCGCCTCAACATGTTGTTCCCTGGCACTGCCATGATTAATGAGACGATTTCGTAGTATCCTGGCTCACAAAGCACCTCAGCCACAATAGAGTTCACCCTCGACAGTGGGGCCACTCACAAGGTTCTCAAGGAAGAACACTCCTTCAAGCCATACGAGACACCAATCCATCTACTAGGAGCAGACTCCAGTTTCACAACACACGCCAAGGGCTCCTCCACAGTTCCGTGCCCAGCTTTTCCTTCAGACAGTGTCACCGGCATGTGTGTTCCCACACTACGCCACAATCTCGTGGCCCAACACGAGCTCCAACGGGCAAGCGTCACCACGATCTTCCCAGCACACTCGGATCAGTGTGACCTCCTTGACCCTAAGTCCAACAAGCTCCTAGCACGCTTCACACTCAACAGCAGCAAGCTCTACACGCTGCATTCACCTGCGCCTCTCGCCGCCCTCTCCCAAGCGCAAGCTGCCAGCACCACTCCGTGTTCGTGTCGCAGCTTCGCCAACCCAACCATCCTCTACCATCATCGCTTGGGTCACCCCAACTTCCGTACGCTTGCCGACATTGCTTCCAAGAAACTTCTTCTTCGCCTCCCGTCAGCGCTTCCTCCACCAACAGACTCACCTGCACCCACCTGCCTAGACTGCACCAAGAGCAAGCTCAGGCAGCAGCCGCATCCTTCCTCCCCATCCGTCGCAGCTGCTCCGTTGGACCTGGTGCACATGGATGTCTGGGGCCCAGCTACAGTCGCATCCCGAGATGGTCATCGGTACTTTCTTACATCGCAACCCAATTGTGATCCCCCCAATCTCCAATTGCCCAATTGAAGATTCCGGAGATCCCAATGGGGATTCCCTCCACTTCCCCCTTCATCCATTCTCCGTTACCTTGCCATGTACTTATAGAGCCTTAGGCTCCTTACCTACAAGAAAGAGAGAGAGGGAGAGAGACCAAGAAAGAGCAATAGAAAGAGAGCGAGAGAGAGTGAGAGAGAGAGAGCAAGAGAGAGAGAGAGCGAGAAGGAGAGCGAGAGAGAGAGAGAGAGAGAGAGAGAGAGAGAGAGAGAGAGAGAGAGAGAGAGAGAGAGAGAGAAAGAGAGAGAGAGAGAGAGAGAGAGAGAGAGAGAGAGAGAGAGAGAGAGAGGGAGAGAGACCAAGAAAGAGCAATAGAAAGCGAAAGAGAGAGAGAGAAAGAGAGAGAGAGAGAGAGAGAGAGAGAGAGAGAGAGAGAGAGAGAGAGAGAGAGAGAGAGAGAGAGAGAGAGAGAGAGAGATAGAGAGAGAGAGAGAGAGAAAAAGAGAGTGAGAGAGCGAGAGAGAGAGAGAGAGAGAGAGAGAGAGAGAGAGAGAGAGAGAGAGAGAGAGAGAGAGAGAGAGAGCGAGATTGAGAGAGAGAAATATTAGAAATAGACTGCAAATACCACTTCTGTATTTGTACTTTTATATCCTAGTTTAGGTTATGAATGTTCTAGTGGGTTGGGGTGTACTCACAAATCCCAACCTCACCCAATTGTGATCCCCCCAATCTCCAATGACCCAATTGGAGATTCAGGAGATCCCAATGGGGATTCCCTCCAATTCCCCCTTCATCCATTCACTCTCACCTTGCCATGTACCTAATCAATTATTTAAACTGTATTTCTTACATGGTATCAGAGCGACCTATCCGCACACGCGGATAGAGGTCCTAATCTGAACGTGCCCGCGCTATGCACACTTCATCGTCGTGACATTCGTTTCGAATCGTCGGAATTTCGACGTGCTCCACTCTGCAGTCGCGCCTCTCATCGTCGACCGCCTTCGCGCTCGACCTCATTGAATTTCTCATCTCTGAAGATGTCACGCTTCTCATCGTCGATTTCCTCCTCGGTTCTCCTTGGTCGAATCTCAATTTTGACCATCTCTTGAAACTCTTTCTCGAGTTTCCCCTCAGACCCCGCCAAAATAGGCGAACTCCCCTCGCGAAATCGCCTCCACGAACGTCTCGCGTCAAGCAAGAGCAGGTACACAGGTTGAAGCGGAGCGGAGCTGGTTGCGGAGCTGGTTGCGGAGCTGGTTTCGGA